ATCTGTTTAGAATAACATGATTAACAGGGGTGGTAGGTATACTGCGCAAAGTGCGATATTATAGTTGGGGTTTGAGTCTATGCTAATTTTGACCCACAAATCCTCGCATATACTTTTCCACTCAGTTATGCGCCTAGCATAAAATTTTTTGGCAACAGCAATCAGCACACCACCTCCCCTCTTATCATAGTGAAAACCAGTGATTTTCACTATGATAGAAGAGGCAAACGTAAGTTGCTCCTAGAGCCCTTGTAAACCTGTAACCAACATACGAATGATGTGTTGTCACCCGAAGTAATATATCTCACAGTCCGTAATTATAGTAGCCGAAACGTGACAATGTCGAAATCATACGCTACTGCTTGCATAATAGGCAGAAATAGATGAGAGGGACCTTACCTAGATACGAGATCCTAGACAAAAAAAGAGTAAAGCATTAAAAACAAAATATATTAAACGATACGAAAATCACTGTTTGCTAAGTAAAAGCTGATAGGGGTTGAGGACAGCAATTCCTGACATATACCGCCAAAAATGGATAATGAATACTTCGCATGACAAAGATCAAAGTGAAAAATGATCAAAGGATATATATTTTAATTAATTTGATGCTGGCAAACGAACCTTTTAATAAAACTTCGGTACGTTGATAAATAAATAGATTACATCATGTTTCATAATTGCGTACGTCGAATTCAGAAGGTAGCCTAATACCATTAAAACTTTGGTTAGACATCTAACGACACTTGATTGATTTTATGAGACTTGAGTAGATGCTGCGGCCCTTAGACAACTACATTAATTATCAATTAGGAATAAAATAAATCAGTTATTAAACAGTTTTAAAAGATTATTAATCAAACTGCAGATCCGTTGTCACCCATGAAATGAGATAAAATACTTCGTTTACTGTAAAATAACGGGTTCTATACACTTACCATACAAAACACATACAAATGCATTAATGCAGATGCTTAAGGTGCTTTTTCTCGATGGTATTCTGAGCGTCGATTTTCCCCGGTCGAGCAGATCCATTCGTTCTACAACCATAATATAGCTGCAGCATGGCTCTACCTTGTGTATGTATGTTATTGTACTCGTACGTACGTAAACCATGACATATACAGAGTCCTATACAAAGGACGCTGTATATGTCGTACTTAAGGGGAAATATAACCTCACATGGCTTAGCAAGATCCTCCGTTATGCCGAAAGTATTGCAGCATTAATTTTGAAATAAATATATGGTAAAGTTGAGGATTAATGTTAAGGTTTACGTTAGACGAAAACACGATTCCGTAAAATTTTCTCGATAGAAAAAAAATCCAAAGTTACCTCCAAACTGAACAATAAACCGCTGTTATTCATAAAATACTTTAAATAAGATCATGAAACTTTGCATACTAACTGAACTAACTATAAAGCAGTGCTTATGTTATTTACTTTTTTTAAATACCATTATTTTCACTATAAAAAGAAATTACCTAAACTATCGGCGTCTTGAAGCTTGATTCCTGTCGCCCCGTTAGTATCGCTTAGGCTTTTGAAGGGAGAAGTTGTGTCGCTTACGATCAGAATACACATTACGTAACAGGACGACGAAAAATTAAAATGGGAAATAACCGTAATAAAAATAAGAAGCGACTGGGTTGGCGTTAAGAAACAGGCATAAATATGATAAACCTAATGAAATAAGTATCTAACGACCTATCTACTTACAGTATTAGTCATTACAAACATGTCGGTACATAGCATACGACGCGCGGGGAAGTGGGGGCGAAATTAGAATTTGAGGTGACTTACTATATCCCCTTAATGATAAGTTGATTATTAAGAAGTAGATATTTGAAAGGAAAAAAGGCGTTTTAATAATAACTTTGGCAAAATATTTAAAAAGGTACGAAAAGTCGAGCATATTAACTCCTACCTAACTGTTTATACCTGACCATCTTAAAATTCAGTTTTTCTTTTATTCAAGGGTCTGTTTTGAATATTCTCTTACACTACAATCTGTGAAATATGTTTGTATAATTATCAACTATTGTTTACTTAGAAAATGTAGTACGTTTTTTATAATAATAATAAAAAAAGTAACTGATTTTACCTAGAAAACGGTGATGTATTCCTTTCTGAAAACGCGTAGCCTCTTATATCATCGTCAGTAAAGTCCAATGAATGCCACAAAATAGGGCCCTGGGCTAACTGCATCCATCGGATTTTTGTATCTTATACCTAGTCATCACGCCATCTAGTAGAGGACCGACCTAAACTTCGATTCCCGAAGAGACGAATGAGGAAAATAAGGGTTTCGAGTACTATAGACTCGAAACCCTTATTTTCCTCATTCGTTGTCGATGGCTGGTATATGTTTGTGTATATGTTCAGCTTAACTGTTGAGCTACGTAGGTTATTTTAGTTATAATACTGCGGATATCCTCATTACGAAGTCACAAATCCCACAGAAACACTCCGAGCATAGCCTTCATCACAGCAGGCTGATCCACCTTAAACTTCTTCATAGAGCCGGTACAGAAAAAGCACGTCTGAAATGTATGTTGTGTCTAATATCACTGGCAACACACACTGGTTGTACTCTTTCCACGTTTCCAACTTTTGAGGTTAACGTTATCACCCGAACGCTGCCGGCCGACTTAAATCTGTCGATTCGACTCTCTCGGTCGAAGTTCGACTTACCTAGTCAGACAATTTGTTCTGGGTTAACATGCTTGATATCAACTTTAAGCGTAGCGCTCCTAACAACAGCATAAGTGAATAAACGTATATTAAAAATCGTCTTTGTCAAGTCCATGTTCATTTTAAGACCAATGCGTTTGGTAAATCATTAAGATCATTGATAATAGTGCTCAGGTCCTCCAGCGATTCTGTTATAATTACTATATCACAGGCAAATCAAACAGGGTTTGCCATTGATGTTGATATTACGTATATCATATTTAGTTCAGTAATTTAAAAACGTCCTCCAATGCAGCGGTGAAGAGTTTTGGTGATATAACGTCACCCTGTCTTACACCCCTCTGCAGTTGAATAGGTTTCGTACTCTGATTCGTATCATCGTAGCCCTACTGGATAGAAATTTCAGCATCGACAGTCAACTTAGCGTCGCTGAACGGACTGTAGCACCGCCAAAATTTCTACGGAATTAAAGCTTACTCATAGTCTCCTTACGTAAGAAAAGAGAAGAAAAGTGGTAGGTTGTAATATTAGGTTCTCTGCACAATTTACCGAAACCAAGCCAACACCATGCTGTACTTATTAAATGAGTATGTGTATAAATTCACATATATACACCTAAAATCATTTGCAAACAACAACATGGTTTAGGCGCATAATATGACTGTGTACACTGTACAGGGAGTGAACTTGACGCGCGGTAGAAAAAAGACAAATCAAGACATGTCAAGAAGTTTAGCATGGTTTCGGCACACTAGATGACTTTATTCAATGGTAATTAGTTATGTTGGAAATACTTAAATAATTAATAATCATTAAATCAATAAAGTAATACCTATAAATGTATCTAATATTATAGTGGTAATTATAAAACAATCAATTCTATATTAATACAGGATTTTCTTGCATTTAAACATTTTATTACATACTTTGAAATTAAAAAGATCCCAGATTTTTGTAATTTCTAAAGTAAAGCAACAATAATTGATAATTAGATACAACAAGCTAAAACTATCACATAGCTGTAAATGGTTCTGATCATTGAGTTATACAACACTAGAGGAGCAAACCCATTGAGTTATACAACACTAGAGGAGCAAACCACATTACCGCGCGTCGAAAAAAGTGTAACCACTATCCAAACGCGACGACGTAGCTTTGAAACTAATAACAATTTTATGTAAACATATATCTATCTCACTTACACAAGTTGTGAAAACCATATCGTCGTCGTAAGATTAGATAAAGATAGACACACAAGCATGCAATAGCGGGTTGGTGTGGCTTACTATATGAAATTTTACCTAAGTTTTTTTTAAGCTGGAGTTAATTGTTTTTATATTAAAAAAGTATATTTTATTTTAAAATATTTATACTTTCTCTTTATCTTTTTACTTTATAATAATACGTCCCCTTAGAAAAAAAGGGATACAAAGCTTATCAGATGAATAGAAGTAAACATAATGATGATGAAAAAGAAATTACCTAAACTATCGGCGCGTAAGCTTGGTTCCTGTCGCTCAGGAACCAACCTTACGCGCCGATAGTTTAGGTAATTTCTTTTTACAGTGAAAATAATGATATTTAAAAAAAAGTAAATAACATAAGCACTGCTTTATGGTTAGTTCAGTTAGTATGCAAAGTTTCATGATCTTATTTAAAGTATTTTATGAATAACAGCGGTTTATTGTTCAGTTTGGAGGTAACTTTGGATTTTTTTTTCTATCGAGAAAATTTTACGGAATCGTGTTTTCGTCTAACATAAACCTTAACATCAATCCTCAACTTTACCATATATTTACTTCAAAATTAATGCTGCAATACTTTCGGCATAACGGAGGATCTTGCTAAGCCATTTGAGGTTATATTTCCCCTTAAGCTATAGATAAATGGCTAGTTTCTGTTAAGTCTGACCGCCGTGCCGAATTTCAGTTCTGGAGGCTACTAATTAAATGATTTAAATTACTTTTAACATTAATAAACCCGTAGATTTGTTTAACGCTAATAAAGTTAACAAGTCGAGCTTACAACTTTATTTTGTAACATATGAAAAATATTTTTAAAATCAAGCCTTTCAGCTGAAAATTTAACTAAGTAAGTGGCGCAAATATGAGCCAATTCTCCTGATTTTTCTACTTTTATGTTTGTCCGTACTAGTTGGTTTAGGTGGTGTTAAATATATTTTTTTTGATTTTTTAGTGGTCGTATCAGTTGTCGGTTCAGTAGAAGCAAAAATTTGCCTCAGTGGTGGGTGTAGTAGTTGCTTTAGTGGTGGGTGTGGTAGGTGCTTCAGTGGTGGATGTAGTACGTCACCCTGCTTCAGTGGTGCGTGTAGTAGGTGCTTCAGTGGTGGGTGTAGTAGGTGCTGCAGTGTTGGGTGTAGTAGGTGCTTCAGTGGCAGATATAGGAGGTGCTCCAGTGGTGGGTGTAGTAGATGCTTCAGTGGTGGGTGTGGTAGGTGCTTCAGTGGTGGATGTAGTAGATGATTCAGTGGTGGGTGTAGTAGATGCTTCAGTGGTGGGTGTAGCAGGTACTTCAGTGGTGGGTATAGTAAATGCTTCAGTGGTGGGTGTAGTAGATGCTTCAGTGGTGGGTGTAGTAGGTGATTCAGTCGATGGTTCGGTAAGTCCTGTAGGCGCTGCAGTTGGTGCTTTGGTTTGAGGTTTGGTACGCTGTTTAATTGTAGCTTCAGTTCTTTTGGTCGTTGATACTTCGACAGTTGTTGACACGGTGGAAGACGGAGTTGTCGAAGGGGTAAATGATGGTTGAGCCGTTGTAAAGCTCTTAAATTTTGTTTGAAGTAACGAGTACTGGGTATCCTTTGTGGTGCTTCTCTCCAATATAACTTTTATTATACTTAATGGAACCCAATGGCCTGGCATGTCTGCTTCAACAGGATTTGCAATGAATATGAGAGGATCATCACTAGACTTAGGCATCTTGTCAAAGGTGCGGGAACTAGTAGCATAAAACACTAGTGCCAAGGCTTCGAAAATCATATATAAATTCACTGAAAAAAACGGGCATTAATAGAAAAACAAAGTAACTTAAAGATAGAAGAGAACTCCATTGTTTTTGAAATAGAATATGTTTTTTTTTATAGAAAAGGCTGGCAAACGAGCATACGGCTCACCTGATGGTAATTGATTACCGCCGCCCATGAACAGAAACAGAAACAGAAACTTTTTTATTCAATGTAGATTATAAAAATACTTATTGAAGGTCACTTTTTTAATTTACCACTGGTTCGCAAATAAACCTCTGTCCTGGGAAGAACCAGCAAGAAACCCAGCGGGACTATTTTTTTTCCAATAGCTTACAATCATGTTTACAATTAACAACACAAGACAAATTAGAAATAGCTTGGTAGCGATCACCCTTCCCAAGGGTTATTATCATCCATAAATTCCTTAATATTATAATAACCCTTTTTATACAAACTTTGTTTAATAACATTTTTGAACTTTGTGTATGACAAATTTTGTATATTTTCTGGGATTTTGTTGTAAAAGCGTATACATCGCCCCGGTGGAGTCGAGTAACTGGTACTACTAGCTTGTGTCTGCTCCTAGTATTTACAGAATGAATATCACTTATCAGTTCCGTCTGCGCACCGGCCCCGTGCGGTCGTGCATACAGTTCGTGCTCCGACCTCGTGCGGAGTGCAACCTTTCGCCCGCGCGCCCCGCTCTCCCCGGCTAACACCGGCCGAGCAGACGCCGTTGGTGAGGTCCTTTGTTTTCGCATCGTTCTTGCCCCCACGCTCCGGCGGGGAGGTTTGAGCGGGCTTTGCTTTTATTGTTTTGTTTGTTGTTTTACTTTTAATTGTTCTGTTATTGTTTATTGTTATACTGTTACTTTGTTGTTTGTTACTGTTCTTGGAAGATCGTTCTTGCTCTTCTCAGAGCGAGCCCTTGTTCTTGTCAGAACATAGGGACCCCAGCTTCTGGGAATAGAGCGTCAGTCCTCCCCATCAGCCACCCAAGGCCCTGTTCTTCTCAGAGCAGGGACCTCTATATTCTTAGACTAACGTCACCCCCCCTGTCCAAATCATGTCTAGCATCATGTTGCCATAGACATGAGCAATTTCGAGAGCCAACTTATGGCCATGGTCGCCCAATTCGTCCAAGCCACAGGCCTACCCATCCAAATCAACGAGATCGCTCTCGTCAACGCTTTTTCTTCCATTGCCCCTAAGGCATGTGTCCCCCCGCCCGCCGTCGCGGCTTTCCCCGCGACCCAAGCAGCTGCCCCGCAGACCGACTCGCCCGCGTCCCCCCGACTCCGATATGGAGCACTTGGACACCACGTCCATTACCTCCTCTTTCCGAAAGAGGACCGCCCTCAGCTCCACCGGCTCCTCGGATTCATCCGACTCCGAAGGAACGATAACCGACTCAGCCCAATTCACGCTAGTGAAATCTAAGCGCGGCCCGAAACGCGCCGCGACTTCCGCACGCACTCCCCCGCGGCCGCCGCCACCGCCCGCACACCCTCCGCCGCTGCCTCTACCTCCGCAGCTCCCACCGTTGCTCCTACATCCGCAGCCCCAAACGCTGCCGCCTCTCAATCGAAGGACACTAACGCCAAGCCTGCAACCCGCTGCGCTTCCAAATTGGCTAAAAACCAAGTCCCGCCCCCTGTCTTTCTCAGAGACAAGGCTAAATTCACACAGTTATCCAAAACCCTCTACGATAAGGGTTTCAAATATGACCAAGCCACCAATGTCGCCGAGGACATCAAAATCATGCCGGCGTCTATAGAAAGAAGACTTCCGGAATATAACCCGTCTCTTCACGGCCGAGCGTGTGTCCTATCACACATACGCCCTCACCGAAGAAAGGAAGGTTAAGGCAGTCCTCCGCGGAGTTCCTTATGAACTCGCAAACGAGGACATTCTGGAAGACCTTAAGTCCCAAGGCTTCCCCATAGAGGCTGTGCACAAAATGCACAGCAGCAGGGGCGAAAGATTTAACCTCGCCCTCCTCGTTCTCACCAATGTGCCGGAGGCGAAGGCCATCTTCCGCGAGGTACGCACTGTGTGCGGCCTGTCGCGTGTAAAGGTCGAAGCCCCACACCGGCGCGGTTACTCAGCGCAGTGCCACCGCTGCCAACTCTATGGGCACGCGGTAGCCAACTGCTCAGCTCCACCCAGGTGCGTTAAGTGTCTAGAACCCCATCACTCGAAAGAGTGCCCTCGGCCCAAAAACGCCCTCATGTGTCCTTTGCAGACAAACAGGCCACCCGGCCAATTTTAGAGGTTGCCCTCGCGCTCCTCGCCCACCTCCGAGCCACAAAGCTCCACCCCAGGTCAATGACCGAACCTTCCCGGCTCTTGTAAGCAGCAAGCCCTGCCAGGGCCAGCCCCTACCTCGGCCCCCTCAGGGCTCATCTCAGCCCACACAGGGCATCTATCGGCCCCCCTCAGGGCCCCTATCGGCCACCTCAGGGCCCTCCTCGGCCCCTTATGAGCGTTCCGCTCTCCCAGCCTGCGCCGCTTCCAATAAACCCTTGGTTCCCAAAGGCGTCAAATATCCCGTGGCCCTCCGCCTACCCACAAAAACAGGCAGACCCAGTAGTAGAAGATCTAAGCCTAGTGTCAATATAGAGGAAATCTCTATCCTTGCGCGTAAACTGCGCACCGCTCAGTCCCCTCAGGACCGTCTCCTTGCTCTTACTGAGCACATCAACCTACTAAGGTCTTTGTATAACACTATGCCGGAGGCCTCTGCTCCCGCAATATCGCACGGTCGTATCAAACCAAAGGGTTTGTCGCTTGTTTCATTTAATATCCGCGGTTTGCGAAATAACCTCCCAGAGCTTAGGCTATTTCTTCGAGATCGCGAAGTCGACCTCCTCCTCCTTCAGGCGACCCACCTCAGCACCAAGGTCTCTAAAGGCCTTTCTATTAAAAATTATTCACTTCTGCGTAATGACAGACCCGACCGCAAAAGCGGCGGTACTGCCATTTATTACAAAAAGTCCCTTCATTGCTCCCACATACACACTCCGACGCTTACCAGTATGGAAGGCACTATCACTAGATTAGCCATGACTGGACATCAGTCAATCATTATAGCCTCTTGCTATATCCCTGGCGGAACCCTCCCCGTTAAGAGTGATTTCCAAGCCATCTTTGCATTAGGCGGTTCAGTCATTATGTTTGGAGACTTTAACTCCAAGCATACTGAATGGACCTGCCGCACTACTTCCAGTAGTGGCAGGGTGCTGCTCAATATCACTCAGTCTCTTGACCTGACTGTCTACAGCCCCCTCGCTGTCACCCACTATCTCGACAATGTTAACTACGCTCCTGACGTGCTAGACTTTGCTCTAGTTAAAGGAGTCTCCCTTAACCTTAGAGCAATCGAGTCTCTCGATGATCTAGGGATCCGACCACCGTCCTGTATCCCCCCTTGTTGGCCATCAGCCATCTCCAACTCCCACTTCCAAAACCTACACCAACTGGAAGGTCTTCAAGAAGTCTCTAGCCTCGGCTATAGACTCTCCGGACCCTCCCATAACCCTTTCATCCGACGTCCTCGACAGTACGGGGAAAATAGACACCGCGGTCGAAAATCTCACCTCACTTATCACATCCTCTCTTAAAGAGAATGAAAAGGTTGTCCCGGTTGCTAAAACTAGTCTTCCCTTAGATATTAGCAACCTGCTAAAAGCCAAAAAAAGCTGCCCTCCGTAGAGCTGCACGCTATCCCACTCCCGAATATAGACTCGCGGCCCACCGCCTTCAACGCAAACTCCGTTACCGCCTCCAAGATTACAGAGACCTCGAAAGGGGCAATCTCATGAAGAAAATCTCTCCCTCCCACACAGCGATACTACCAGATGGCGAGAGCCCTCCGGATAGACGCTATAACGCATACTCCCCCTCTGTCTCGTCCCGACGGCTCTATTGCCTTCGAGGACTAAGAAAAGGCTGAGTGCTTCGCCAACAGCGTCGCCGCTCAATGCTCTCCCAGCTCACAATCCACTGACCCCATACACATCCAACTAGTGGAGGACGAGGTCCGTCGCCGGAACTCGCCCCCTACCGCCTCTGACCATATCACTGTGTCCAAAGATGAGATTTCATCTACCATCAAAGGACTTAAGCCCAAAAAAATTACCGGGTGCGGATGGCATCTCCAACCAAGCCCTCAAATACTTTCCGGAGCAGGTGATCGCCTTATTGGCCATAATCTTCAACGCCTGCTTCGAATTCAGCTATTTTCCCACCTCTTGGAAAGAGGCAATTGTCATTGGTATTCCCAAGCCAGGCAAACCTCACCACCTCCTCTCCAATCACCGTCCCATCAGCCTCCTCAAAGCCATGGGCAAACTTTTCGAACGAGTCATTCTCGTGCGCATGGGGCGCCATTTGTTTCCACAGACGGCAACCCTCTTATCATCCCACAACAATTCGGGTTTCGAGCCAAACACTCGTGCCCCCAGCAAGTTCACCGCATAGTGGAATATATCCTCAGCGGTTTTTATCCTCGTCGTTAAAAAACCATCGCGGTCTTCTTCGAAATTGCCAAGGCATTCGACAGAGTCTGGCACGAAGGCCTTGTCTACAAATTGTACGATTTAGGCCTCCCAGACCGTCTCGTTCGCCTTGTAGCCTCCTATCTGAAGGATCATACCTTTCGCTTTAGACACGAAGGCACGCTATCCTCTACTCGTCAAATCAAAGCCAGTGTCCCTCAAGGCTCTGTGCTTGCCGGGGGAGCAATAACATGACGCGTCTTACCTAGTTAGGTGCTATTCAATAGCACCTCCCGTCCTCCCTCCCTATTGTGTGTACTATCTACGTCCTGTCACAGTAGGGACGGGATTCTACTTTACTCTAGAGATGTTATGGAGGTTCGATTCGATTGATTTTTCACCTTTGATTACCGAATCAATCACTTTTCCCATAGTTATATCGAAGGTCGATGTATAGCGGTGGTGGTGGCCGTTGTCAGCGCGTACGAACAAGTTTATACTTGCCGCGCGAGGAACCTCCCTGAAAAAATTGCTTTGCATTTGCAAGATTCTCCCATCATTCTATTGGAATCAGACGACTTTGACTTTTGCAATTCATAGTGCCGATTTATCAGTTAATAAGAAGACAGTTTCTTACCGAATATATTTGTAATGAATAATGTGGGTAATTTTACACGTCTGCCTTACCTACCTATGATTCTGGTTCCGGTTCCGGCAAACCAAATTTAAAAACTCTGCTTCCGAATTCAGTTCCAATATAACCACTTCCGTAACATCCCTACTCTATTGTATTACGCGAATCGAAGCTGATTAATTTGTAACATCTAAGATTTAAGATATTCATGAGCCACTCAATTGTGATGATTTCGATTATAATGCACCCTCCTATATATACTGTTCACCAACGACATCTCTATCCCGTCGAATGGTGTTAAACTAGCCCTCTTCGCAGATGACACAGCCCTTTACTCTAAAGGACCACCGCCACACCCTTTACTCTAAAGGCAACTCACCGCCACAGATTCGGAACAAGATCCAAAAGTCAGTAAGCGACTTAGGAGCTTGGTTCCAAAAATGGCGTATCGACGTAAACCTGGAGAAGAGCTCCGCCGTTTGCTTCGAATATAAACGACGCCGTCTCACCACCACTCCGCCAATCAGGATGTTAGGAACCCCTGTCCCATGGAAAACTACAGCCAAATATTTAGGCGTCACCCTTGATGCAAGGCTCACTTTCGAACCCCATATCAAGAAGGTTACTCGCACCGCACGATTTTACATGGGTAGGCTCAACAGCATGTTGGGCAGACACAGTAAAATGTCCCTCCGCAACAAGCGAACCCTATATAAGGTCTGCATACGACCCGTCATGACCTACGCAGCCCTCATTTTCGCACATGCTAAGCCCAAAGCTATAAACGAACTTCAAATTGTTCAAAATCTATTCTGTCGTAGGGCCACTAACTCTATTATGTCCGTAATGTTGACCTACACCGAGACTCCCAACAATCCAGCAGTTCCTTAAATCACTCTCTGAGAGATTTTTCAAAGCCTCAGAGTCCCACCCAAGTCATCTCATTCGTGAGACAGCTGCCTATGGCCCCTATCCACACTCGCTATAGTGTGCGCAGACCGAGAAACACTCTCTCGGATCCCCCCAATAAGCTTTCGGCTGACCTGAACTGCCTCCTGGCGGCTCAGGCCGAGCCTACATAACACATCCCTTAATCTGCCTTAGTTAGGCACTCTTCTAAGCGACTTTTCGCCGCTTGCACCCTCCTTTCTGCGAAGGAGGGTCGCGTTCGTATACGGCTTAGAGATCTCTAGTTAGATCGTTAAGCCAGTCCCTAAAAGGTGGGGTTTAGTGGGTAAAAGTCTCCACATAGACACGCAGCCGGCTGCGTGGTATGCTATGAGCATTCCCCACCTCCCTCCCCCGTGTTACGGAGGGTTGCACATATTTGCTTCGGGCGCAAAAAAAATGTACATTACATTTTCATATATGTATTGAGAGGCCGGAGTTAATATATTGATTTCCTTAAATTTTTGTCTCAGTGACTCTTTTGGTTTTAAGTTATATATTGCTCTAATGACCCTCTTCTGCAAAATAAATATAATTTCAGTGTCAGTCGCGTGTCCCTATAGCAAAACACCATACGACATAATGCTATGGAAATAACTAAAGTAAACTATTCTAGCTGTTTCAACACTGGTAAGAGTTCTAATCTTTTTTACAGCATATGCTGCAGAACTAAGTCTGCTAGCTAGTTTTGATATATGGGGGAGCCATTGAAGCTCCGCGTCCGGTGTGATTCCAAGATGCTATGGTAATGCCACTGGAGTTCTTCCTATCAGGACGTGAGCTGGTGTAAGGACTTGGAATACTTCTGAATCAGAAAAGGGAATAGGACATAAAGGTCTGCTGTTAAGGATTCCCTTTATCTGAATTAATACTGTTGAAAAACCTTCATAGGTAAGTAAACTTTGTTTCAGGACACGCTTTAGATGATATTTGCAACTTTTAACAGCGCCCTCTGCCAAAACATTCATGTGAGGTGAGTAACTAGGTACAAACTTCCATACAATACCTTGCTCGGTACACGAGGTTGTCAATTCGTTAGAGCTCGTGTTAAAAAAAATTGTATAACTCCCTTAACTCCCTATCTGTACCCCGGAAGGTGGTGCCGTTGTCGCTCACCACCACTCGTGGCTTCCCTTGTCTGGCAATGAACCTTCTAAACGCCGACATGAAGCTATGAGTTTCTAGATCTGTAACAAGCTCAATATGTACGGCCTTCATTGAAGAACATATAAAAATGGCTATATAAGACTTGTAAGTTTTGTAACCACGCCCCTGCCTGTCTTTAAGTAGAAATGGACCCGCATAATCTAGTGCCACAGTGTAAAATGGTGGTGCTGGTTGTACTCTGTGACCTGGTAGGTCGCACATCATAGGCGTTGTTGCCTGTAGTTTGGCTCTGAAGCAAGGTACGCGTTCTCTATAAATGTTATTTGCTAAAAGCTTACCCTTGATAGGCCAGTACTGCTCCTTCATGCTAGACAGCAGCAGCTGGGCTCCTGCATGCATGAGGCGGACGTGCTCGTTCCTCATAATTAGCTTAGTTAATGTGTGATTGTTGTGTAGTATGATGGGGTGTTTTTTGTCAAATTCCTAGTGTGATTGTCTAAGACGACCTCCCACCCTTATAAGATCATTGTCCATAAATGGTTTAAGACTCAAAAGTTTTGAGGTTTTAGGCAATTGTGAATTATTTTTAAGTAGTTTGTATTCATTAGGAAATGATTCTATTTGTGTAAATATTATTAATTTATTAGCAGCTTGCCTTTGTTCCTGACATGAAATTGCACCTGTAATTTTGTTATTTTTGTTTTTACAATTGTGCTAATGTCTTAGTATGTATGCAAATATACGAAATAGCTTAGTGTCACTGGAGCACCTTGAAATTAAATTATTTATGAACGTGCTGTCGTTAGCCCCATTTTGTGTTGTGTTGCATAATGTTTTGTGTGGGGATTGTTTTGCCTTAAGCTCAATTGATTCTTGGGTTTGTTGTTTACTTAGAGGCCACTCACCTTGTGGTTTAATAAGAAATGTTGGACCTTCAAACCAAAATTTAGAAGGTAGATGTGCAATTAACCAATTTGTCTGGTAAAACTCCCCTTGAAAGCAAATCTGCAGGGTTTTCGTTACTAGGAACCCAACGCCATTTAGACTGGTCTGTTAGAGCTTGAATCCTGGTAACTCTGTTGGCTACAAATCTATTGAGCTTATGAGGTTCTGTGTTTATCCACGCTAAAGTGATGGTAGAGTCGGACCAGTACTGAATGTCGTCTATAGATACTTTGAGTGCTGACTGCATATCTTTCATATTGACTGCCAACAATAACGCCGCACTCAATTCGATAGAGATGAGATAGAGTTTGGCCTTGTGCATTGGTTGTAAGCACATATATGGCTGCCCCATATGCTTGTGTGGAGCTGTCTGCAAACCCATGTAATTTGATAGTTATATAATTGCTTATTGTAACTACTCTGGGGATCTGTAACAATCCTAGGTATTGAAGTGAATTGTAAAATGTTAACCAATCCTTTAAAAGAGTTTGTGAAATAGGTTGGTCCCAGTCCGACCCGTCCACCCATAGACGTTGGATGAAGCATTTGGCAAGAATTAAGCTTTGGCCTAATAGGCCTAAAGGATCAAAGATACTTGAAACTCGAGATAAAATAACTCGTTTTGTTACATTATTTGGTATAGGTTGTAAGTTAATTGAATAATTCAAATTGCCGTTTTCGTTTGACAATTCAAGTCCTAATATTTTGTGTGAGCTATCCCCTGTTTGTCCAAGTTGGACGCCTTGTGGCGTTGCTGTTCTGTTTGTGTAGTAGTACTTGTTGAATATGATGTGTTGAATTGGTTTTCCACTTACGTAGATGAAAGTTAGCTGTGCGCAGGACTCTGTCTACCTCCAGGGCGACCTGCGCGATCCTGTGCTCATCGTCACCTGAGAGAAGTAAGTCATCAGCGTAGAAATGCTCCTCGATCGCTGCGGCCGCTGCGGCTGCCACCGACAACTCGGCTGACGATCGTGCTGCATCTGGAAGTTGTTGCAAAGCAGTGCGAGTTTCTTGTGCCAAGTGCAGTAAGCAGCGTGTTGCAATGTGCGGCGCAGGTTTCAGTCCAAAGCTGAGTGTTGTTAGTTTGAAAGTTTGAAGCTCATGGTGAGGCTCCTCCCTCCACAGAATGCATTGTAGAGGTTGCTGATCAGCATTTATGTGTATGCAACAAAACATTTTTTGTATGTCGGCGTTAATTACATATTTGTGCAATCGAAATCGTAATAAAATGTGGTTAAGTGTATCCTGTTTGATTGTGCCCTTGTGCAAAATATCATTTAGGGAATATCCTGACGAGGTTGGACAAGAGGCATCGAAAGCTACCCTCAGGGGTGTTGTAGACTCTCTAGGTTGACAACAGCATGGTGTGGTCAGAAATTAAGAGGAACGTCCGAGGCAGTACATTTCTGCATGCGCCCCGCTTGTTCAAATTCTCGCATAAATTGAGTATAAATTTGTTTAAACTCTTTGTTTTTAGAAAATTTTCTCTCCAATGACAGAAAACGTTGTTTAGAAATGTGCTTGGATTCGCCTAAAGAGGTTAGGTAGTTTGAATGGTAAATTTACAACAAAGTTTCCCTCAGAGTTGCGGGTGTGCATCTAAACACTTCCACGCATTGTTTGTCATCATGGCACAACACTTGGTCGTCGGTGGAGGTGAATGGATTATCACCACATTCCTCCATTTCCCAGAAGTGTTTCAATTTAGTTTTTAATGATAAAATGCATCGTACCTGTGTGGGACTTGCTAAAGACCCTGATACTATCCTCCCAGCTTTGTCTTTTGTAATATAGGATAACCCTCTCCCAGACTATGCCTTCCAATGCACAATAAGTTGTAAAATAGCTCGGCCCCAATGAGTAAGTCAACCTCACCCGCTGAGGAGAAGTTTTTGTCTGCTAATTTGATGTGAGTTGGAATATTCAAGAATTTAGTTTTAATTATTGATGCATTATAATTTGGTAGGTTACAAATTTGTGGCACAATTAAACAAGTCAGTTTTGTTTGAAATTGGCTATCATTTGACTCAATATTGATGTTACAATAGTCTTTGATTTTAGTTGAATTATCATTAAAACCTATCACTTCCATGTTGATATTTCTTTTGGATAGTTTCAACAATTGAAAGGCCTTTTCTGAAATAAAGTTGGATTGTGAGCCACTATCTAGTAAGACTCTCAAGTGGTGGGTTTGATGTCGCGAGTCGTATGCTCGGACCACCACTGTAGACAAAAAATACCATTTTTTCATTTTTGGTTGGGTGGTAACCGCCTTATTATGTGTATCAATATTGATTGAACCTGCATTTGCTGCTGGCTGTACAAATTCCCTTACTTGCACTTGATTACTTAATTGATTGGTTTAGTGAGAGTGCAGAGAGGTACTTGAAGTTGGTTGCGCAACATGCATCGTAGAAGGAGCCACCTTATCACTGTGTAAAAGTGTGTTATGCTTACCTTTGCAGTACTTGCAGTGCGAAGAGCGACAATTAATAATAATAATAATAAATAACGTTTATTAGCAACCAAATACGTCTAAATACAAAGGAGCTCTGTCTCCTGAACTAGGTTATCACCTGTATCTCAGGAAACAGTGCCTTCCCTAATTCTTAGTTCTAGGTCTATATTCGGCAAGTACATAAGACAATTTATTATTCTTTAATATTAATTTATAAGCCGTTACTGTTACATACTGTTTAATGTGTTGTTTATTGTTGTTGTGCGTATGTGCGGAAGTGTGGCGCTCGCGTGCGCGCGCGCTTTGTGTGTGTGTGTGTGTGTGTGTGTGTGTGTGTGTGTGTGTGTGTGTGATTGTGTCTGTGCGTGTTTTAATGATTGTATTTTATTTAGATATTGTAAGAAGATTTTCAGTTTGGACATAGTCAAGATTTTGCAACCATTTCAATACATATTTTTTAAATCTATTGGTGCTTAGAGTTATAAGGCTAACAATATTCTCAGTGGGAATTTTATTATATATGTATGGTGCTATGAAATTGTAGTGTCGTTGCATAAAGGTGGTTTTGGTAGTGGGTATAGGGCACCGAAATCTTCTTTTACTGGTTCGTGGTAGTGAGTAGGCAGTTACACGGTGGTATCTCAGGAGAGCTTGAATTATAAACAACTTGCGAACTGAGAGTACCTGAGTCTCGTTGTAGACTTTATTAGTAGGATGTCGGTACGGTAGGTGCATTAGTACTTTTAAAATTGCTCTTTGCGCGCGTTCAAGTTGAATCAATGTTGTTTTTGGTGCGCTACCCCACGTCGTCACACAATAATTAATGATACTTTGGCAGAGCGCTTTATAAGTCTGAATAAGAATTTTTTTACTAGCGACTGTTCTTAGTTGTCTAAATATATATATAAGTCTTCTAACCCGAGAACAGATGCTAATGATTTGTTCTTTCCAGCTCAAATTATCATCTACTTGAATACCTAGGTATCTAATACATCTGGCTCTAGTTAATGTGCTGCAATTGCATTGGCTAGTAAGCTTTCCATTACATGGTAAAGAATGTAGTGTGATTGTAAATTCTTGAGCTGGACCTGAAGTTGCAGACCTCGAGAAGCAGAGGTATTTGGTCTTTGAAATATTTAGTGTGAGTAAGTTATTCTCTAACCAAGCTGAGACATTCTTAAAACAGGTTTCTGCAAAAGTTTGTACTTGTTTCCAACTCTGCCCATGAAATAGTAAGACAGTGTCATCAGCAAATATTAGCACTTCCGTATTAGATGTTAATGCGTTTGGAAGACTATTAATATACGCCAAGAAGAGAGTCGGGCCTAATGTACTGCCCTGTGGAATACCGAATCCACAGGTTGAGGCGTCACTTAGGTCTTTATTCACTCTAACGTATTGCTGTCTACCTGCCAAGTAACTATGGAACCATTGGTATACATGACCGCGGATGCCCAAGCCCTCTAGTTTAGACAATAGTATCGGAATTGATACTGTGTCAAAAGCTTTCTTTAGGTCAAGAAAAACACCAATGACCTTCTCTCCTCTATCAACATAATAGGTAATTAAAGATGTCAACTTCAATAAGGCGTCATCCGTTGACCTTCCTTTGCGAAACCCATACTGATAATCAGTTAATAGTTTGTTTTTCTCTAAATAAATAATCAACCTACGGTTGATCAACCCTTCCACAATTTTTGACATGGTAGACAGCATAGAAATCGGTCTATAGTTCGAGACATCTTGTTTGTCCCCCCGTTTTAAAAATTGGAGACACGATAGCCGTTTTAAATAAATCGGGAAATATTCCCTGTTCTAAGCTAAGATTACAAAGATGTGCAATTGGATATACAAGGTACTTTTTTGCCAATTTGACAAACCTAGTGGAAATGCCGTCATGACCTGGTGCACTGTCAGATTTTAGATTATTTATTATTTTATTAATTTCATATGGGTCTGTGGGTACGAAAGACATAGATTGAAGCTGAGAGTTTGATTGTACAAACGCTTGCCTTGCTAATTCGAGCTCCGTTTTATTTAGTTTCTGTAGGATGACGTCCGCCAGACTTTTACCAATGGTTGTGAAGTATGTGTTGATCTTGTTTAACGATTCCTTTGTAGTGCTCCCAATCTTAAGCAACTCTGGAGGCACATCGTTTTTCATTTTCATATTACATATGTCCTTTATTATATTCCAGGTTTTTTTGATATTTTTTTCACTTTTTAGTAGTTCCTTTTGATAATACTGCTGCTTCAAAAATTTTAATATTTTATTGCAAGTGTTCCTATATTTTTTATATGTGTTAATTGTGTCTTCATTCGGTCGTAGTTTGGCCCTTTTATGCAACTTATCTCTTTTACGAATTGATCTTACAACGCCTATCGTGATCCAAGGCTTAAGAGGTGCTTTCTTTTTGGGTATGTACTTAGTGCTAGTGCACTCCTTAATTATATTCGTAACAATATTGACAAGATGTTCCGCAGTTTGGTTTACATCACGCAACTTAAAATAATGTGACCAGTCCATGGCACTTAGATTATTTAACGCCCGGGCGTAATCTAGTACCTGTTTTGTGTGTGTGCTTTTTATCTTTGGCAGTCGGGCGTTTTTTATTTGTAATAGAATAGGACTGTGATCAGTTAATGGTGGAAAAACCATGGTTTGCCATTTTTCAGTCGTCTTTATCATAAAGTGATCGAGACAGTTGTTGAGCCTCGTTGGATGTGTAACACCTTGTTCTAAACCATGAGTAGCTAATATGCACAGATATTCATTTAATTGATTATTATGAATGTCGAAAGGCATCGTATTAATGTTTATATCGCCTGTAAGAATGATTTGCCTGTTAGAGAATTTTTGTAATAAGCTATCTAAAGATTGTAGATATCGTCGAGGGTTTGCATAACAGGGTGGTCGATATGAACAAATAACCGAAAACCTATCTAAATCAAGTACAAGGCAGTTTCCCTCAATTAAGTTCGGTTCAGAGGCGATAACTGTAAAGACCTTACGAACATATACCACTATGCCATCATTCTGATTTAAAAGCTTTTTTAGAGTAATGTACATTGTAATCGGTTATATTTGGGGGAGGGATATCCTTTCTTGACCAGCATTCGGTTAAAACTATCATATCCATTGTTTTATCAAGTGCCGATAAAAAAGCCAATAGCAGATCGAAGTTGCGGTTTATACTCCGTATATTTGCAGTAAGGATGCAAAAAGTTTCGGAACCATCACGACATTGCAAAAGTTGTGAGCATTGCGACACATCGTCAATCAGAGTACAGTTGGATTTATTTTTATCCAAGTCAGATGTAATATTATTATTAAACAGATTGAATTTCAATTGTATAAACACATAGTTTCAGATGTTTGCCTTTTTTACATGCAATTTGATAATTATAAGCAAACGTCAAGGCGTCGCAAAAACGGTACACTATTATAACAATATAAAAAACAATTCGTTTTGAAATGAACACTTGCTTTGCAATATGTAAATGTTTATAAATTATATATTTTAGTGAGTTATATATAAAAAGATGTATAACATTGTGTGATGTGTGGTAACAGTAGTAGTAGTAGTATTTTGTTTTGTGTATTGTGTACATAAGAAAAATATTTTGCTTTTTAAAATGTAGTAACCGGCCTTTGAAAACATAGAATTTAGTATAATTAACTTTTATACAATTAAACTTATTTTCTACTGTAAATACT